CCTGATTTATGAATTAAGGTGCTTGAATTTTTATGTTCCTTATTCATCTTATAACTCTTTCTCTCTCCGTCTCCCCCCCCCTCAATACCCCTATCTCTACGGTATCTCTCTTTCTCTCTCTCTCTCTCTCTCATCTTTATCTCTTTCTGTGTGTGTGTGTGTGTTTGGTGCCATTGAAGTCGATGCTCTGACTTGTGGCTTTCATGTGTTGGACCAGTGAGAAAGTGTGTTCCACCAAAACCCTAGCCACTGTAGAAAACCCCAGCTACAGAATTATCAGAGAAGCCATAGAGATTGAAAAAAGACCTGAAAGCATGAATAGAAGAGATGACTCCACCAGACTGTCAATTATTTGGAAGCCTGCACTCAGAAACAAACAAATCTCCACACCACAAGCCAGGTAAACACCTGAGCTCAAACAGACACACACACACACACACACACACACACACACACACACCCCTGATACCTCCACCAAAAACAAACCCCAACCAGGCTTCCTAATAAATGATAGCCGTCAGTTTACTTGGAGCCAAGCTGCACTAAAAGCCTCCAATACAGGAAACACAATGTTGCCAACCAATCAAGACAAAAAAATTCTACAAAACAGAGAGAAGATATTAGAAACACCAATCAAGCAGAACACAGCAAACTCCAAGACCAATAAACACAGACCAAGACTCCCAACCAATCAGGGTGAAGAAAAAACCATTCTGGCACAGCAATAGGCTAGCCCTAAATTTAAAACTAAACAGCTGCGAAAGTCTGACTCACAGACGAACACTATACAGAAGCCTGATGATGGCAGATGAGATTCTACCGAAACGTTGCTACAACTTTAAAAGCACAACTATAATGATGTGGGAAAATACCCGAACAAAGCTGAATACCATATCTATATCTATATCTATATCTATATCTATATCTATATCTATATCTATATCTATATCTATATCTATATCTGTCTGTCTGTCTATCTATCTATCTATCTATCTATCTATCTATCTATCTATCTATCTATCTACACATACATACATACATACACATACACACACAAACTTATATATAGCCTGATGATCGCAGATGAGATTCTGCCGAAACGTTGCTAAAACTTTAAAAGCACAACTATAATGATGTGGCAAAATACCCGAACAAAGCTGAATACCATACATGTAAGTACCCGCTTGTGCATATATATATATGTATGTATATATGTATGTATGTATGTATGTATTTATGTATGTATATATGCACAAGCACGAAGCCGAAAGCACCAGCCTGAAGATGGTGAGAGGGACCTCGTCGAAATGTTGCCAAGATACTCTCAATCTTACACTTACATTTTATATATAAAATCTCTCTCACCTCTCTCTCTTTCTATATATGCATGCACATACATATTCATATACATGCATACACATACAGAGACTGTTGTTAACTGGCTGTCAATATATAGATAGTCCTCAGTTTACAATCACAATGGAACCCCAAATTTCATTGCTAAGCAACAGTTGTGAGTTTTGCTCCATTTTACGACCTTTCTTGCCACAGTTGTTCAGTGAATCACTGAAGGAGGTAAGTTAGTAACACGGTTGTTAAGTGAATCTGGCTTCTCCATTGACGTTGCTTGCCAAAAGGTTGCAAGAGGGAATCCCGTGACCCTCGGACACTGCAATAGTCATAAATGCAAGCCAGTTGCTAAGCATCTGAATTTTGATCACACGATCATGGTGATATTGCAACAGTTGTGTTAAAAATGGCCACAAGTCACTTTGATGATGTAACTTCAAACAATCACTAAATGAACTGTTATAAGTTGAGGACTACCTGTAATTCATTCCAATTCCAATTCCAATTCTAATTCTATTTCCATTTCCATTTCCTATTCTATTCTGTTCTATTCTATTCTATTCCCCACCTCCTAAGACAGAGTGCAGCTTATTCTATTCTATTCTATTCTATTCTATTCTATTCTATTCTATTCTATTCCTCACCTCCCAAGACAGAGTGCAGCTTATTCTATTCTATTCTGTTCTGTTCTGTTCTGTTCCGTTCCCTTCCGTTCCATTCCCTTCCGTTCCCTTCCGTTCCCTTCCATTCCGTTCTACTCTACTCTACTCTACTCTACTCTACTCTATTCCTTATTCTATTCTATTCTGTTCTGTTCTGTGCTGTGCTGTTCTGTTCTATTCTGTTCTATTCCTCACCTCCTAAGAGAGGGTGCAGCTAATTCTGTTCTGTTCTATTCTATTCCATTCCATTCTATTCTATTCTAGTTTCATGATAAATATTTCCTGACAGTGAGAACAGCCAGTGGAACAACTTGCCTCCAGAAGTTGTGAATTCTCCAACACTGGAAGTTTTAAAGAAGCGATTGGACAACAATTAGTCTGAAATGGTACTATAGGCCTTCCTGCCCAAGCAAGGGGTTGGGCTAGAACAGTGGTCACCAACCAGCGGGCCAGGGACCACTGGTGGTCCGCAAGAATATTTTGGTGGTCCGCAGAGAAATGTCACCCCCAAAGCAATTAATCCAGGCTGCGCAAGAACACAAGGCTTGTGTCCCTTGCATTGTGAACAACATGAGGTAGTGAGGGGAGGGGGGAAAGGGCAGAAGGGGGGGGAACTTGCCCCGTTCGCCCCAGGCACCTGGTCTGGCCACCGGGCTGCTTCTTTCTGCTTCTTCTTTCTTCTGCTTTTGACTGCATGCAAGGAAAGCAGCAAAAGTCTTTCCTTCTCTCCCCCAAACTCCAGCAGAAATGAGTCTTTGGGACCCTGTGAGGCATCCTGCTCCAAGAGGCTGCGCCGGCGCGACAGATCTCACAAAGACTTATTTCTGGCAGAGTTTGGGGGAGAGAAAGAAAGACTTCTGCTGCTTCTGCTGCTTTCCTTGCATGAAGCCAAAAGTCTCTCTCTCTCTCCCCCTGAGAATGGAGCTGGAGACGGTATCCTGCGATCCCAAATAAAGAATGATCGATCGGTAGGAAAACGGGGTGGGGAATTTTCCTGCAGACTTTTGGGGGGATTTTCCCAGGGTCTCTGGTCCGCGGGATTTAAAATGATGATGGTTTGGTGGTCCCTGAAGTCCAAAAGGTTGGCGATCCCTGACCTAGATGACCTCCAAGGTCCGTTCCAACTCTGCTTTGTGCGTGTCTGCACATTATGGGTATAAGCGCAAAAGTGGAAGTGTAATCAACGAATTGTGGAAGCAAAAGCCAACTACACAAAGTGCGCCAAAGCAGAACTGCAAGTAACCTCAGAGAGAATCAAAAGGCTGAGGACAACGACCACCTTCACACATCCAAATAAGGATGGACTTTAACAAAAAGCACCTAGAGCAGGGGTATCCAATTGGTGGTCTATGGGCCAAATGCATCGTGCGCAGGCCACGCCTGGCCCAGCTGCGGTAAAGGGAAAAATATCACATGACGGCAACATGACACCCACGACCTAGAGAACTGAAGACAGATAATAAAACTCAATTATACAGAGGCTGAGTTTCTGCCTCTTTCAGTTTCTACTTCTCTTTTAGGAGAAATATTGTGCCTTTTTAGTATATGCTAAAATATTTCATTTTTTTCTAGGAGAGGGGTGGGTTTTAACTTCCAACACATGTTTCCAGTGTCTTTCTCCCACTTGGAATGGAACCCAGATGGACATTTTCTTCCAACCCTGATGACTGCCTGGACTAGCCCCTAGGATGGGGGTTCAGAAGCACTTTGCCATTGCCCCCTTCTTAGGGCTGAGAGAGAAGGGCTGGCCTTGGGGCTCTGGGCCAGGTGCTGTATGGACTTGGGAAAATGAGGCAGCCTCCCCACATTTTTGCTAGTGCTCCCCCATTTCTCACCTTGCAATCCTTACGGTTCCCCTTCGCATTTCTTCCTTTGCAAGCTCTGTTGCCA